TTGTCTTGTTAATCTACTTTTGATGTGGATTTGCCTTTCATGGAGTTTAGCTTGTGGGGTTTCCTCCATGATGCTGTGTTGCTTTGCTTTTTAAAAATGTATTTGGTTCAGCCTCCGCCGTGCTGGGATTGCAGGTTCGCACCACCATACCCATTCTTGGTGGCCAGCTCAGTGTGGCCTGGAGCAGGGCCAGCATGACACGTCATGCTGGGGCTAGAACCCTGATTCCTGTGCTTGCCTAAGCAGGCACTCAGTCTGTTGAGCTGTCTTGCCAGCCCTTCAGGATGCTGTGTTTATGTGGCCACTTAATGCACAGGAATCTTGAGTCCTTATTGAGGGCTGTGAGGCATATAAGAAGGTGAGGAGAGAGACGGGAAGGGTGTAAGTGGCAGGTGCTCCAACACTGCACTAATTCTCTGAACTGTGTTCTAGGACTCTCCAGTTTTGCCTTTTAGAAGTCAACGTCCCTTCCATGCCACTTTCTTCAGCCATCTCTTTTGTCCTCTTATAGACATAAAGTTTGAAGAACTTACTATACATTCTTAAAGATATTTAAGCAAGATGCTCTTCAGGATCCTCGAGATCCCATTAAATTGTGACTTTTGATCTCAGCTCAGCTGGGAAATCTTTTCTTTTGTGCAACTTGAGAAAAATCAATATAAATAGCTCGGAGATAAAAATTAAACCCATCTCTCTCTCTCTTTGTGCTTCCTTACAGATGTGCCTGGTTTCATGGAATAGTTTACAATACTACGGACAGTGGAAACAATTGTTGCTCTCTTCTGGAGAAAGGTAAATGATAATTCCTGAGTTATTCAGATAATGGAGGCAAAACTTAGTTTCTGGAAGGCCAGAAGGTCATGCAGCTAGGCTTGAAGAATTCCACATTGGATATCGGTGGTGACATCCTTCCTCCTTCCCTACAGGGAGAGAGAGACAGGAGCGATTGAGTCACAAGCCTCTCGCAAAGTAATGAGCCTCATTGTGCCCTGACCTCTGGCACAGCTCACTGAAAATACGCCTTTTCACAGCATGTTTACACAGTGACTATTTGCCTGTTAAGCAATTCGGTATTTAATAGGCCCAGAGTGATCTGCTTACATGGGAGCCTGTAATAATTAGAAGGAGACCATGCCAGAATATGAAGAAATTGATACATGGCTGAGACGAGCAATGACCCTCGAAGAGAACAACAGTTTATGGAAGACAAGACAAATGCCACCTGCCACAGTGGCTCTGGGGGGATAGCAAGGCTCCTACCTCCCCTGGAGCACATGCAGTTTTCCGGGATCTTGAACAGCCAGCTCAAGTGGAACACTGGGAAAATGAGTCAACTTCTTGGGCATTCCCTGGGTAGCCGTCTCCCGCAGCACTGGGGACGGCATCATGCATGCTGCAGCAGCTGGCGTTTTCATGGCATTAAGCTTACACTCAGTTTCCCTGGCACCCCATAGATCTCTGAGGAGCCTCAGAGGGACCTGTGAGTCACACTTATCACTTGATACGTGCACACTGTGCACCAAGCCTGGCCCTAAGTGGTTTTGTTTTCTTAAATGATATGATGTCAAATAAATCCCAATAGAAAGTATATACGTGCTTAATCTCCATTTTATAGGAAAGAAACTAGTAGCCCCAAAAGGATATTTGATAACTGAATTGCCCAAGATCACACCACTTTCGAGATGGAACTGATACGCAAATACTGAATCTTTTTGTCCCCAAGCCATTGAATTAGGACACTCAGTATACTATGATCAAAAGAAGTTTAAGTAATTGCTGAACCCAGAAATTTATGAACTGGTCATTGTGGGGACATAAATGTTTGTTTATTTATTTATTTATTTATTTATTTAGTGCAGGGTCTCACTATGCAGCTTGGACTCAGTGATCCTCTTCTATAATCACCAGCCCTGGGATTAGAGGCGTGTGGGGAAGGGACACAAATGGAGCAGGGAGACAGGAGAGCATCAGCTCTGGTCATCTCTGGAGATACCAGCCTGCACAAAGTGACAAGGATTTCCCTGACCTTTGCCACTGCCAGTGTCTAGGGCACAGCAAGTGTTTCAGGGAGTGTTGGTTACTTTGAGATGTTTGAATTTGAAATCCCTCATCATCTGACATGAAAAATGGCAGATTTGCCATGTAAGATGTCCCTGGAAACAATTCTGAGACAATGAAAATATTAATCTGCAAGTATTCACAATAAAGCTCACAAACAGAGTTAGGAGAGGTGACAGAAGAAGGCATTCTGGAGCTTGGTGGGGACAGGGTACAGATCAGGGGGTGCTGGGATGAGGAGCCAGTGGAGGGAAGAGAAAGCCCTTGGATGGTAGTTGGGCCACTGTCATGTCATGGTTGCAGGTTTGTTTTTTTTTTTTTTAAAGATGTAGCCTTCCTAGAATTTTTACGTGAGATGTCCAGAATTATCCGGATAATTTAAAAGTGCTATACACTCACATGTGCACAACATTTTACTGTTTGGAAAGCTTTGTTTCACTGATTCTCCCAATGACAGCCTGTAATAGGCAGGAGCAATGTAATCAAACTCCTTTCACCGATGAATTTATGGAGGGCTTAAGACTTTTCCGTAACCACCTAGCTTTGAAGAAGGCAGGGCAGCAGCAGAGTGCAGATCCTGAAACCTGTCTCTAGGCTCCTCTGAACACTGCATTTAAAGACATTTGAGGGTCAGGGAGACAGCTCTGTGGCATAAACACCTCCCTGGCAAGTGCAAGGTCCTGAGTTCGATCCCCAGTACTGAAGAAAAAAGACACTTAACCAGAGATATGGCACACTGGGTCAGTCTAATGCATCCCACCACCACATATTTCACTAACACTGTTTAGATTCGGAGGTCTTTCCTGAGGAAGTGTTCACTTGAATAGATGGGAATGTATCCAAGCCCCCTGAGCCCCTCTGCAGCAGCCAGGCGGTGATTGGGCATCTACAAGCTTTCCAAACTCTCGAGACTATTTACATTTCTTGGCCTGTCCAACTCTTGGGGATAACAAGTTCCACGTGTTTCCCACCTGCTGCGTGAAGGACCACTTCCTTTAGTTAATGTTTGGAATGAGTGCTTCCCACACTGGAGTGTTCTCTTACCTCAAGCTCCTTCGCAACCGGTTATGGTCCCCAGGACAACATGTCTATCTGGCCTACAGCCGCTGGCCTTCATGCTCCTGTTGTGTAGGTGTCCTCTATGATCACATCAACAGTTCTGAAGCAAGTAGAAGCTAATGGCACTTAGGATGCAAGTACCCATGCAGTAGAACAAGTGTTAGGATGTGACTTCTCTTTGGAATGTCCCAATAGCTTGAAAAAGTGAAGCAAAGATTGCCATTATGCAAACATTGCCTCTCCTGGGACCACGTCCTTCACCATTTTAAGAAATTCCACGCTAGTCCAAATGAAATAACTATAAAGTCATACTTGCATGAATGTGCAATTCTGGCTGGAATCCTTTGTAGCAACTGACCTTGCTAATGTGGACATGTTCATATGGTTAAGATTAATGAGTCAATTATTTTTATACAAGCTATCCCTCATGTAGGCTGTTTTCCTTGACTTGAC